TGGATTGGGATAACAGTTGTATGAGCCCCTAATAAAATGTTAAAAAAGAAAAAAAAAATTGACAGCCTCAGGTGCAGTATAGCACCAATGAAGCATAAAAAAAAAATTTTAAAAAAAATTAGTGCTGTCTGAAGCAACGCCAATTTCTTTAATCCCCTCAGATAACCTATCCTCTTGTTTCAGGAAAAACCTGTACCCACCTCCTCATCACTGCTGAACAGTAAGGCAGATGCTTTCTTTTTGGAGGGCTCAGAAAGCTTTGTTTTCTCTTGACTTCGAGTTGGCAGAGATGATGTCTGCTTTTTAGCAGCTGTGGCCCCCAAAAAATTATCCTGGAAAACCAAAGACAAAGGGTGTGACCACTTAACAGACATAAAATATGCATAGAAAAAGTATTCTTGCACATCACACTATATGTACTAAGTCTCCAGTGGGTGCAGAACATAACAACTTTGGGGTGAAAAACAATCATTACATGGTATTAAATACCACCCTAATCTTGGTATAAATCTACCAAAGTGTATAATATCTTTTAACTGTAATCTCTATTCACAAAAGGAAAATACATTACCCTGTGATTGAAAGATAGAATACTTGGAAGTGGGAGTGGGTAATATGAGGACAAGGTGTTAGAAGTAGAAACGTGAAACATGATTAACTTTTCTATGTAATTAGGGAAAGCTTTCAGTCTGTAATTACCAATAGAAGAGCTCATCTTTCTGTTCTTCCTGTGGCATTTAGTAATTTGCAACTTGCTTTTTCTACAGAATAAAAACTAGAGCAATGGCTTAAAAGAGAAAAATGATGTTTTTCTCTTCTCTTTTACATCTAAAAAAGACACATGCCTGGGACCAATGAAAGGAAACACTTGTTTTAAAAGACAATACAAGTTGATTAAATAAAACTGCCACAATATTAAGGTTCAATGTCATTTATAAGTGCCTGTAGAGTTGTGTACTGCAAAAATATCTATTGTTACTTTTAAGATAATGAGAGCAAGACAATTCAAGAACCCAAGACAGAGTCAGGATGGAAAAAACACTCGAGACAACATACCCAAACAGAACAGCTCTGAAATGTAAAGATGAAGGGAGTCTTTTGGGGAGAATGTAGTAAGAAAGGTCATAAGGATATGACCTTTCTTATGCACTTACGGTGTGCCAGACACAGTGCTAAGTGTTTTACATGCGTTTCCTGTGTTCATCACTATAATACTATTAAATCATGTAAGGCTCGGAAAGGTTAAGTGATTTGATCAAAGTCCCTGGTCTGCAAATAATGAAGCTGCGATATAAACACAGGAGTTTGCTTCCAAAGTCTATAAGCTTTTACACATTGTAAGACAAGATAGAATGGTTAAGTTGTGGCTTATCCTTTTCTTATTTCTTTCTAGAACTTTTCTCTGAGTGTGAAAAGACAAGTATTCTGTGTAGGTAACTAGGCATAAAAAAAAAAAAAGATATATCTTATGCAAAGTATAGATTTTTTTAAATGAACGGATCTATACAATTGTGTTTTACATACATTTCATTATGTATATTTCACAGTAAAAAAAAAATACACATTAAAAAAATCTATAAAGCCTTAATTAATCCCCTTGCAGAGGGGTCTAGGGAAGGAGAAAGATGAGCCAGTCAAGGTGAGATGTAGCAACGATGAAAAATACAACTTTCCTCTAGTTCCTAAATGCTTCCTCCTCCCCCCTCCCCCCCCCCCCCCACTATCATGATCCGAATTATATCTTGCAAGTCTGGCTAGACCAGAGGATGTACACTGGTACAGATAGGAACTGGAAACACAGGGAATCCAGGGTGGATGATCCCTTCAGGACCAGTGGTGTGAGTGGCGATACTGGGAGGGTGGAGGGAGAGTGGGTTGGAAAGAGGGAACCGATTACAAGGATCTACATGTGACCTCCTCCCTGGGGCACGGACAACAGAAAAGTGGGTGAAGGGAGACGTTGGCCAGGGCAAGATATGACAAAATAATAATTTATAAATTATCAAGGGCTCATGAGGGAGAGGGGAGCGCAGAGGGAAACAAGCACACCTTGTTCTGAACCTCCTGTTAGAACAGAGGTCTGGGTCAGACACAACCTGGCAGTTCAGAGGGAAGAAAGATACGCAGGAAGCCCTGAAAAGATGACAAATTCTTGACTTCTCTGACAAGCACCAAGCAAACCCTTCTCACAGTGCTTCAGACTCGTGGCATCAGAAAGGCTGCCAATTCACTCCCCACAACAGCCTAGGCCCTGAGACTTGAATTAATCCCACAGAATAAGGTGGCACAACTTCCCTGACATCCTGGAGTGTGGGGAGTAAGCCCACCGTGGGGGAGGGCAAAGATTAAGTGAATCCAAGTCAAGTGGGGGGTGAAGTTTTGAAACAGATGGGGAAAGTTGCATGGGAAGGCCTGAAGTTTATCAATTATATGAAGCCCTGGGGCTTATCAGCTCATGGTCAGAAAAGATTTATTAAAGCGACTCTGAGCCCTGTTCTAATTCAGTTTCAATTACAGTGGTGAGTGCGGCAAGAAAAGTACCTTGGATATTGTCTTCTCCCTCCTGCCATGAAAGTGATTTTGGTCAATAGCCTAACAAACACTTCCTAAGAAATTTAGGAGCCAACCTTGAGACTAGGACCTTGACAGGAAATAGTAAGTTTTTGCCATATTAGCATTACTTCCTCAGAACAGGTTATTGCCACATGACCTAGCCACTCACTCTTCAGTATTCAAGAGTTAGAGCAAATGTGTAGAAAAAACTATTCATTCTATTATCACCTGCACACACACACAAAAAAACAGACAAATATAAAAACATATCTCAGAAAAAGCCAATTACAATGTACATGAGAAAACAAAAAATGATGGAACAAACAAATGGTCTAAACATAGGAAAAGACCCAGGAGATATCTTAGATGAAGAAAAGGCACTATATCTTCTTCCTATGAGGGAGTTTAGAAAAATGATCTTCATGAGGGCAACATATATACAAACATGCCTGACTCAATTGATCGATGGATGTGATGAGTTGTATGAGCCCCCAATAAAATGACTAACAAAAAATGAAAAATGATCTTCACCTGCTTTAAATGAATGAAGAGAAAACTTGACAGAAATACGTAACAGAAAAGAACATAAAAGAAATTATGAAAGCACTACAAGAATAAATGAAAATATAGAAATAATTTGACAACTCAAAATAGAAAATTAGAAATTGAAAAATAAGATATTACTGAAGTCAAAGGATGGATCAGTATCAAAGCCTAACTGTGAGAACTGGTGTGCAAAGGTAATGGTAACAGAGAGACCCTAAGTTTCATTTGTGGAACTACTTAGGAAATAAGCCTCCAGAGAACTCCTACTATCTAAAATTGAGGGAAGAGAGGAAAGTGGTCACTAAATAGAGTGCTTGGGAAAGAGGAATATAGAAGGTCAATGTCATAAATCTAAACTGAACAGCTAACACTTTGTCAGTACACCCCCCACCCATGATGCAAGTTGGACCTGATCTGGTTTCCAATATTTTCTGTAAGTTTGGTTTGTATTATTTTCTTTGGTTTTTGTTTGTTCATATTAGAGTGTATTTCAGGTGTTATGTCAATGTAGGTCACCCTCTTGAAGCTGTGTTACATGCTTTTCTATTTTTCAGTATATAAAACCCAAGATCAATGAATCTAAAAGGACAGCAAGTAAAATAAGGGGTTTAGGGAGAGAAGGGAACAGTGGTGGAGGTAGGGTACAAGGGAGGCAATGTCAAGGAGTCCATGTAGAAAAAGAATGTTTGGAAGTTGATTATGGTAGCAATTGTACATTCTACTTGACATGATGGAAATTTGGATTGGTATGATATATGTCTCCCAACTAATAAAAAAATTGTTTTAAATAAAAGAATGAGATATTAGAAATGGGTAATAATCTGGAAGAACAAATCAGTAGAATTGAAACAATGAACTCAAAGGAAATTCTCTCAAGACTAAAATATGAGAACAATCTATAGAAAAAGACCAAAAATAAACCCAAAACACTAAAGAAAACTTAAGAATTCTCTGAGACACTATCAAGACCAATTGCCTATAGCTGATAAACATTCCATAATGGAAAGAAATAACCACAAAGAAAATAGTTCATGAAATATTAGACTAAAACTTCCATAACATGATGACTGAGTTA